ACTGCATCAGACATTTTCAAGTTGCTGCAGTGTTTGGAAAACTTTAAAATAAATAAAATACTTAGAAACTAAACCTGTATCCGGAGTATATTTTGGCAATCGCATGCATTTTCGAGTCTATGTAACACCTTTTTTTGTTTTTAAGTTCCTGTTTTTTCCTTTTTTTACGCTTTAAAATTTAGATGGAGTATATATTATCTGATTGGCAGCAGAAATGACTCCCCCCAATTACACAACTTCTGCTTTTTGGGCAAACGAGGCTAGCCAACTAAACATTAATCATTTCTTAGTCATTGTTTTCGAGAAGACGAGAACTTTTAATACGCAGAAAGTTGCTTTTAAATGTACCTATGTGTGTAAGCCTCATCGAGCCTTCATTTTGCTATATTTCCATGCCACTCTGGTAATGCAATGGATCGACCGCCAAACATTAATTGAAATGTGTATCCTTAATCAACAAGTTACACATTTTAAACTGCGAACATAGTCTTGACGGTTTTGAAGATAAGGGGAACAATTTACAGTAAATTACTTGCTGGTGTTATGTAGGTAAAATGGCTACAGAAGAGGTTTAGGAGCATGAGTGGAAGAGCCAAGAGATTCCCGAAATAATATCTTATACCTCCTCTCATAAGTTAAAGGAAATGTATGCGTTTCTTATCCAACTGTATCTACTGCGAGGCAAAACAAATAACTTAAATGAACAAATTTTACAAAGCAAAACAAAATAAATTTTTGGCATTACCACCCTCTTCAGGTGTGCATTGAATTGACACCTTTAATCATTCATTCTTCTCCCTGTGATATGCCACAGTATATTTGTCTTTACTTCACCCATCATGAAGCATCATTCACTGTTTTCTATAACAACTGGAACAAGGCATGTAATCGGAAACATTCTACTTCGTATGCCAGTGTGCAATTCAAATTCCATTTAAATTTTTGACGTGACCAGTCATAAAATGTTGATTTCATAGACTCTGTCCAATTTCATTGACAGAAGATCAGCATTTTTTGCAGCTAGTACGAAAAATGAGATAACTTCAAAGGTGTCGTACGTGTATCTGGAACATTTGGAATGTGAAACCATACACCTAAAGAGACAAAATCATTGCCAGTATCATTAACCATATTTGTAGCAGACTTTGTAAATGGAAAGTTGAAATCAACATGGCATAAACCGAAGGGGTCTTCTTTTGTCATCAGTACGACAAACTGCAGTGACAGGAAGAGTGATTTGTCGGATGTTCATCTGCATATTGTTTTAAATGAAACAAATACCTCAAGCAAAATTTCTCCTTTCAAGCATCTGTTAGAAGCAAAAGTAGGGAGGAACAAGTGAGAAATGGAAGAAGTACACATGGCTGAGTCATCGGTCTCTTTTTAATCGATGTAATTTCGTCTACTTTCCTTCAGTAAACAGCGCCACGGATCCATGATAAGGAGCTAAAGTACACACAGTTAACTAGAACACAAATTTCGCCTGCCTCTCTATGCAATTGCACTTGCTACTGTAATGATTTCATCCTCCTTTGATTTTAATTATTTTCATTGACTCATTAGTCATGAATATTTAGTTTTTATTGACAAGCGTGCCGAATTTAGTTGAAGAGACGGGGATTATCAAACATGCTTAGAAATGGTATATTGCGGCATAAAAAACAGCTATATACAAGCTTGAATTTTAAAGTTTATTGCAACCTTTATACAACTCAGCTAAAGTTAACTATTTTTAGCTAACTAAATTGTGTGCCAAGGTTTTTAAATGCGTTTAAAGGCATCAGAGTTACTTCTTAAGACAAAGGATAAGACTCAGGCTGAGGAGTGGAATCCGCCGTCAGATTTACACTCCGTATATATGAACAAAATTTATCAGGCATTTTGCATATCTGACTTTTTTGTAGTTTTGTCTATTACACACGCATTCTGCTGCATGTCACGACTCTGCACACAGCGAGGTGTGGTGTCCAAGGGATATTGCAAAACTTTTGTGTGCTTTTGCTGTGCTTAAAAGGAGAGGTTCTCGTGCGGCAGCTAATACGAGGAAGGCAAAATGAACTGACTAGTGTTAAGTTTATGCTGCTACATTATTTACAAAATGTCCAAATCCAGTATTATCGAAATACTTAACCGCAGTCAAAATTGCTACTAGGAGTGAAATGGTGTTTACTTCTATCTCCTTTGAAGTCGAGGAGGAAAAAATAGAGCATAGCATTGGCGTTTAGGAGGGCACAATTAAACGAATGCCTGATATTTTGTACTCAATTTGCAAATTTGGGCGATACTTGCATTTGTTTGAATGTGATGCGTGAATGAAATTTGCCTGTCAGAGACTTAATCCAAGAGAGTCGGCTGTATATATAGCATCCCGAGTTTCTCTTGCAGAAGAGAGAATACCTAATACACTGGCAGAATTTATATATTCAACGTACAGAGGGGGTAGGAGAGACTGGCTTGGCTCGGAGACCAGTCCAACGAAAGAGGTACAGTGGCTAAGACGCTAAGTGGCCTTTTATCTAAACCGACAGTTCAACAACCAACTAATTACAGCAAACATAATAAATTACCCAGACAACATAAAAATCGGCTGGAGGTAATAAGTAGGTCAAAGCATATTTCTTGGGAAGGAAAATCAAAATGCAACTCTTAAAGGAAGAAAGTAAATTATGCAAGCGAATTTCGATGCTCAAACCTCAGTCTGAATCGTCATAGTAATCTGATTAAAGTGCAGCTTCAAGCGCAGTGAAAATGTTTAAGCCTTTCCATTAGAAATTCAAGATACGCTTGTTCCTTTCATTTTCATTTGCTTCGATTTTCACAAATTAGGCCATAACTGGTAGTTGTATTTTTATTTTGTTATTTTGCACAATGCTAAGATAAATTTGCAATAGTTTTGAAACTAGCCATCATTCTGCTCTTGGTCTGCTTTTTCAATGATAGCTGTTTTATGTGGCAGGAACACTCAAGTTCGTTGTTTGACTTATTGCCTCAGGATCATTATTCGATACCACGAATTCGACTGCATAATTTAGCAGAGAACGGAAAGCTTTGTATACTCATGGGTATCACTAGGCAAAACAGGAAGCAAAAGTCGAAAAAACCATACGGATGACCTAGATCAAATCATGATAGGTTTACTGCTATGCCGTACCTGTCGAGGCTAATAGGTGCATTTTCATAGATTTTGCTTAGTTTTATTGCGCATAAGGCGTTGATTGTGATCCGTTAACTTTATCTAAGCAATCAGTCGCTTGTTCTTGTTTTTCAAGATGAATCTCGTGTTGGTCCTTTTTATCAGACCAGTGTCATTGATGCTGCTAGAACCTGATCAGCGGCATACATGCAGAAGTACTCTGAATGGAAGGTGCAAATTTGGATTCCAGGAAAAGGTTTTCTGTCGCCAAACATTGACACGTATTTGATTGAAGCATGAAAACGTGGGCATGTTCTCTGTGGGTCGCCAAATGACATCCAAATTGTTTGTGCGACATAGAGCCACATTAGTGGGCTTATTTCCAGAGCCACTCCTCCTTTGAATTTTGTATTGTGCAATATCATTCATGAAGGTTTGCAAATGCACTTCTGTGGCTGTCTTAATTACTTGTAGCCGATCTACCTAATGTTGTACCCATTCCCTTTAAAGTAAGCGATGAACGAATTTGAAATTTCCTATTGTGAAACTGGTGATCTTATAACCAATGATTGACTGAATGTTGCGATCTTATAATGAAATGAAATTTTTGCTATACATTCAAAGCCAACTTAGATGTCATCTTAAAAAGTTATTTGCGGTAATATGCTTATTCTAAACTGAGTAATTTGTGCATATTTACACTACGGCAGATAGCACTACTAGCTATAGAATAACAAAGTGGTGCCAGAGTGTGCACAGATTATAGCCATAATAAAGGGATTTAATAAGACCCAAACCAGATTTGGTTCAGTAAAGACAAATAAACACTCTGATACAGTCTCACTGTGTCACTAATGAGTGAGTCTTTAGGCAGCTATGTCAAATTATCAGCTTAATGGTATTCATGTGTCTATGAACGCTAGTGCATCGTGTTCTATCAACTGTCATCGTGATCACTTTCATGTCACCAAGAGTGGTGACTCAAATGACCTCTCACTTAAAAATTAGGTGTGAATTGTGTCCCACTAGAGAGACGAAGTGCACGATTGATAAAGTTACTGCAAATTCACCAAACTCATGCATGGATTGAGCTTCACCTTATACCTTGGCACTCTAAATTTGTCATAAAAGGTGCCTTCTCATTACAAATAGCAGCATTATACTTCCAGCACCAATGGTAATGCTTTCAATTTTCAATGCTTTATATTTCATCTAATTATGTCTTGATTTGATAAAAGTTTTCTCGTGCAACCAGAGAACAACACCTTAGCGAAACTCGAATATTCCTTTTGCCATCCCCATTTTAGAATTTGCTTTAGCAGTTTAAAGAG